TTTGGCTTCAACAATGAATTTGCAGACCCCGCTTGCTTACTTAGATTAAATTCAGAACCACAGCTGCAACGGCGGCTTGATGGAAACCATGTCATATCCTGCTTACTCTTGACTGCTTAGACTAATATTTATTTATGCATATCTGTTCCCTGTTAGCTTAATTGTCTAAAAGTTACTTTGTTGCAGTATTTTTATTTACAAAAATAGAGTGATACTAGCGAGAAATGCCCAGCGCGATGCAGCGGGAATGAAAACCATACGTTACCTAGAAATCAAAGCCTGTTGAAGAATTTTCTTCGAATAGGGAGAACCGGGATGGGATTTCCTGGAAAATTGTCTAGAGATATATAACACAAAATTCATTCAATTTGGGATTTCAAAACAAATAACTCTATGGACGCAAAATTGCAACCCTTTTATGTGGTACTGAAGATAGTGGGGAGCAGGGCAACACACCACAGTGTCAACTAAAAAATGCAAGATTTCTATGTTGAACTCCGCAAACTGAGCATGGTGGTTGCTGAAAGCGGTGATTTCTGCAAGGTGGGGGCACAAATTTTAGCAAATCAATCACATTAAGATAGATAAGCATCTAATAAAGATTCAAAATTTGTATGCAAAAATGCTGATTGTGAAAACATACTTAACTGCAGGACAAACAAATGTGAAGTGCAATGGGTTAAAAAAGAGAATCACATACTTCTTCCCAATGTACTTAGAAAGCCTGACCTGAAATCCAAAACCAATTCTTCAACTTGCAATGAAACAAAGGGCTTTTTAGTTTGGAACCCCTTCTATACGAAGCACTTCTGCTTTTAAGCGCTTCTGCTAGAAGTGCATTTATTTGAACATGTCTGAAGTTCCTATCCAAGTCCAAATGCTTCCTAAAAAACATAGAAGTACTTCTAGAAAGCAGTTATATGAACCTGAATATAAATTCCTTGACCGGAAAATCAAAATACAGAATATGATTGCAAAACAATGCTTTTGTGTGATACAATCTGCTCTCAGTTAAAATCTAGTATCATTTACAGAAAGGAAAAAAAAAGTAGTAGTAATATTCCTATAATACGCTGTAACATGCTTGCACTTCTCCGCACCAAGTTCTCAAGGAACACCAACCTGTGGTTAATCATGTCAGCATTCAGAATCACAACTCTGTGCTTGATAAATAAAGCCAACCGGATACTCGAGATCAAAAAAGGTGAAACTACATGCATAGAGAACTATAAATAAGATAAAAGTCAGTTCTTTGCAAAACCAATTGTATTTACCAAAAAATGAAATAAAAATAAAACCTAACAACCAAAAAAGAGGAGCATGTGCAGTAGCAGTCATGTATAAGTTCAACATCACCTAAAGTTCGGAATTTCAGATTAACCCATTGCATCATTTCTATAAAAAAATATTCCAATTATGGCATTATCATTGAGCAAAATTAATATGTTGGTAGAAAACAAATTTTATGAAAATGGTGTGTGGATTTATAGCTAACCAAAGCATTGGTTATAAAAACTGTGACATGTAACTGATCAAAAGAATAATCTTTACAATGATAACATACAAATGCAAGGGTGATATCAATTTTTTTCAAAGGAAAACTAATGAAAATGGTTTGAAAACTTTGAGTTTTAACGATAAGGACAAAATAAAAGGTAAAGTGAATAGTATAAGGTTTGACTTTTTAGTGTTAAAATGTGGTTTTTCGTTAAAGTGAACAGTATCGCGGCTTTTCGTTAAAACTCCATTTTTTCAATTGTCCGAGAGGTATACAATTCTAAGTATGGGGTTTACTTCATGTTGGGTGAAATCCTATTTAGAGAATGTGGATAATTGTTGGTCTAATCATTAATAACAACCTCCTTCCTAGCGCTTTTTCAAGTTGTCTAGAAGCACCCGGGCTCAAAGTCTCCAAACTCAAACACCATAAAACACATCATTGAAAAAATCACAACTTAAAAATGGTTGAAAAATTAAAACTTGGTAAGCAAAATCTAAGGGGGCTAACAAATTACCTGCACTTGGAGCAGAGATTGGCAAATCCACCGAACTACAAAGATCAACCTTTCTTTCATTCGTGTGTATTGGCTATTCTGCACGAATGATTCATACAAACCTTGAACCCCATTGCCCCAAATTCAAACTCTCCAAAACTGAATTTCAGATTAACCCATTGCATCATTTCTATAAAAAAAAATATTCCAATTATGGCATTATCATTGAGCAAAATTAATATGTTGGCAGAAAACAAATTTTATGAAAATGGTGTGTGGATTTATAGCTAACCGAAGCATTGATTATAAAAAATGAGACATCTAATTGATCAAAAGAATAATCTTTACAGTGATAACATACAAATGCAAAGGTGATATCAATTTTTTTCAAATGAAAACTAATGAAAAGGGTTTGAAAACTTTGAGTTTTAACGATAGGGAGCATTTTTTCTCACCATCATAAACTATGGTGTATGCTCACCATACACTTAATCAATTGACACGTGTCATTTCACTTAATCTTGGTTATTTTTTTTTCAAAATTGAAAAACTAACATTTAATGTGAAAGTTAACTAGAATTAAGTGAAATGACACGTGTCAATTAATTAGATATATAGTGAGCATACACCATAATTTATGGTGGTGAGCAAAAATGCTCCCTTAAAGATAAGGACAAAATAAAAGGTAAAGTGAATAGTATCATGTTTGACTTTTTATTGTTAAAATGTGGTTTTTCGTTAAAGTGAACAGTATCACGAATTTTTCATTAAAACCCCCTTTTTTCGATTGTTCGAGATGTATAAAATTCTAAGTATTGGGTTTACTTCATATTGGGTGAAATCTTATTTAGAGAATGTGGATAATTGTTGGTCTAATCATTAATAACAACGTCCTTCCTAGCGCTTTTTCAAGATGTTTAGAAGCACCCGGGTTCAAAGTCTCCAAACTCAAATCCACCGAACTGGAAAGATCGACCTTTCTTTCATTCGTGTGTATTGCACAAATAAACCTTGAACCCCATTGCCCCAAACTCAAACTCTCCAAAACCCTAAAAGCAAATAAAACAGAGCAATCAAACCAAAATAGCTGAACCACTTTTGACCAAAACCCATCAAATAGAACATAAAACCCAGCATTAACCTGGTAATTTTTTTTTTTTTTTAAAAAAAAAAATTGCTCATTACTCATTTACAAAATATATTAAAATTCATAAAAACTAATAAAACCCAAAAAAAAAAAAGGAAAACAGAGTTTGAAGTTTTTTTATGAACTTACAACAAACAAAATAATTCTTTTTTCTACAACCATGTGGAGTTTCTTGATTCAATCACATAAAACAAAATTCTTAAGTTCAAAACAAAAAAAAAATATTACAAATTAAAGTGAAGAAATAGGAAGAATAAAGAAAGAAGAGCATGCAAACGGAGGAGAATAAATAAAAACGAAGAAGTTCAAAATAAAATCATACAACAATCTTTAGATAGAATGAGAACGCAGGAATTAAAATTTGGGGACAAATATTAATTAAACTACTGTAGCAACATGCAAAAAACGGCGAAGTTGGAAATTCATGTACCATTTGAAACGATTAGTATAATCGTTGCATGTCTCTTAGTCTTATCCTAATCTGCATGGAGGAAGCTGTCTCTTTTGCCCTTTCTTTCTGGGTTCTCTCTGTTTCCTCTCCCACCTATGCCTCTTGATTCAAACAAAATGCTTGCTGCCCAGAGAGCAATCTGTGCAGGTTAATCAAGAGGTCACTAATTGGTTTTAGCCAACAGATGGTTAACCTATCACCAAAAAAAAAAAAAAAAAAAATCAAAACTTCCAAATTAATTGAAAGAACTATAAAATGAATCGGGGGTTTCGGCTGAAGTGAAAAGTAAGAACAAATAATTAATAAACATCATCCACATCTAGCGAATTAATTGAGAAATATTAAATTATAAATAGGGAAACCAGAAAGATTGAAAGATGAGATCATCATCCATCTTGCAAAGGAATATGTATAGGGTGGAGTGCCTTCATCAAAGACAAATTCATCCTGCAACCTAATCAATTGTCCTAACAACCATAATGTAGAGAAATTTGTGGTGGTCCATTGCACATAGGCAGCAGGCTGTTAAGCATATCAATATTTGCATAAGATGAACCAACATTTGAAAAGGATAAGCAGACGGACCAACAAAGAGAGAACATCTAAATTTACAGCAAGATGAAAGTATCCGAAAATAGGGTGCAAACATAATGTGCCTCCTTTTTAATGTGGGTCAGTGAGGGTAAGAGAGAGTGCCCTTGGTGTTCTCTCTCTCAGTGCGACCTTACTTGACAGAGATATGACCTTACTACCAGAATGGAAAGAAGTCGGTATAACAGCATTGGTACTTACATTGGATATATGCAACCTGCTCTGGGAGTAGGGATGGGCAATGGTTATGGTGGACGGGTAACCACGGTTATTTACCCATAATCGTTCATATTCATACCCGCATAACCATTTACCCGTTGGATAATTGCATAAACGGTTATACCCAAACCCGTAACCGTTTATAAATGGTTAACCATACCCATAACCGTGTACCCATTTAACCATAATCGTTTACCCATTTAACCATAACCATACCCGTTTACCCGTTTATCCTTTTTTACCCATTTACTCATTTTTCACCCGTCTACATGTTTTTTTAACAACTTGAAAATTACAAAAGAAAATTTGTCGTAATTTTCGTTTTCTGATAATTAAACATCGTTATTGGTAAATTTTAGTATGCATTTCCCTATTTTAATCATTTAAGTCCTCATACAATTCCAATAATTGAAATAATAGTTTACGAACGATATTTTTCTGCTACACCCAACTTTAATTATAATCCATATGATTACAAAGTAAACTTATGTGTGATTATTTCTCCTTTATGGTATCACAGAGCTAAGAAAGTCTCACGACAACCCTAGCAAAATTATTATTTTTTTTTGACATGGCCTCTTCTGCGTCTTCCTCCTCC